CCTCCGATTCGATTCGATTCGACTCCGATGGATTCCGATTCCGATTCGATTCGATTTCGGATTCCGATTTGGGCTCCGACTTCTTATTGGACACATACTAGCCTGCCGATTTCCGCCGATTCGACTTTTCCCGACTCGGCTGCCGATTTCTGCCGATCCGACTTATTTCGATCGCCGATCCGACTTATCGATTCGATTCTGGGCTCCCCTGGGCCGGGGCGCCGAGGTGCAGGAGCCCGCGCCGCCGAGAAGCCTCGCGGATGGGAGGCGGCGACAAGGGCGACTAGCCTTTTAAGTCGGGCCTGTCCCTCTACAGAGGGGAAGAGTTCAAACATAGTCCAACAAATAGTCTTGGGACGATTTTTAAAAATACCGTGTTTGACTATTTATGGGTAGTGTTTGACTATTTGTTATTTTTCGTCCAAAATCGGCCTGTAGGGGGACAAGCCCGACTTAAGAATAGCCTAGGGGAGAGCGCATCACACCAAAGAAAAAATCCAATCGGTGGATGGTTTGAGATGTGATCGATAGGAGAGATCGATGAGGAGATCGCCCGGGAACCCGGGAACCCGGAACCCACCGAAATCGGCCCAGAACCAATGACCAGGAATCCGGGAACCCGGAACCGGGAACCCAGGACCCCAGCCGGCTACCAGAATCGGCGGGAAATGTTCGCCAAACCTTTCCATGTGCGCTGGGACCCCTTCAGTGCAGGCACTGATTGGGGAAATATGTGTACCGTCAACGCCCATGATAGGGACGCGCGCCTTTTCTAGGGTACACCTTAGGCGATGCTTAAGAAAACCTAAGTTTTCGGCGGGAGTCTCGATTATTCTTAATGTTTCAATGTAAATCCTAAGATCTGAATGAGATTTCTGGGTTTTTATTCAAGTTCTGAGACTGTGAATTTCTTAACCCATGATTTCTTAAGCATCTCGCAGGGGGTACCCTTGGGTTCCTTCCTGCCTCTGCCTCTGCGGCCCGTCCTCTGCAATTCTCATCGGCCAGCCTCTCAGGGTACCTTTGTTCAGGAGGGAAAAAACACACAGACACAATTAATCGTCGATCCCCAGGGAAATATGGGAAAATATGAGAAAATATGGGGAATTGTTTTATTTGTGTGTATTTATTTGTGTGTCCTGGGGCCCCTTCATCATTGGCCAGCCTCTCAGGGTACCCTTGGGGGCGGGCGCCCAGAATGCCCCAACTTCGGCCTCCGAGGATCTTGCGTCCTTGCCACGCGTCCTCACGATAGGTCTTGACTGCATCCAGGGTCACCGATTGTGTCCATGCCTTCGGCGAGGCGCCTGGGCGAACGCGCGGAGTGCTCGCCCCGGGGATGTGCACCCCCTATCGTCGCCACCGAGCGAATTGCTGCGGCAGAACGGGCGCAAGCCTGCCAGGCTCCTGGACCGTTGGATGGGGTGATGGACGGTCGGCGACGCGATCATCGCCGGAGAATGCCTTCTCCGCCTCGCCACTCGACAGCGCCGCCCCGCAGCCCCTCCGCAGGGCAGCCAGCCTCCCTGGGGCCCCCGATGGGAAGGAGGCGGGCGGGGCGGCCGGCGCGGGCTGCAAGCGACGCTCCTGCCCCACGGCCCTCGGGCGCCGGACTCGCGGGAGGCTCTGCATCGGCTGCATCAGCAGGGTCGCCAGCCAGTGCCTGGCCCAGAGCACGGGTTAAGTCGGGCCCGTCCCTCTACAGGAGGAGTATTCAGAAATAGTCAAAAAATAGTCAGGGGACTTTTTTGTTGAGTATTTCTTTGACCATTTGAGAGTACATCTGGAGTATTTTTCATTTTCGTCGAAGATCCCCCTGTAGGGGGACACTCCCGACTTAGAGCATGGGCGAGGCGTGTCAGACTCTGTCCCCCTGTGTGTCGTTCGACCTCACGGGCGCAGCTCTGGCATCGCTCGGGCTCGTGTGCAGGCTTTACTCGACGAGGGCGATCGAGGAGCATCTTTTGGATCCTTCTTGCGGAGGTGGGCAGACCTCCTACCCTGTCGGGGGTCGACAGAACCCCCAACAGTGACACGTCGATTAGTGAATTGTCCGTTTTCGGTTCTCGAGATGGCGCCGTGGCCGTTATTTTCCAGGCTTGCTCCCGCCAGGTTTGGGCCCCAGGTCGTTTTCACTAAACCACGTTTTGCTAAAGGGGGGTCTGTCCATCTCCGATCCTGACACGTCGATTAAGGAATTGGCCGTTTTCGGTTCGCGAGAGGGCGTCGCGGCCGTCATCTTTGCGGGTCCAGGTCCGTCGGTTTCGGTCCCAGGCCGTGTTCATTGAGGGGAGGTTTACTAACTGGAGGTTTGTCCACCGCCGATCTTGGAAACAAATACTCGAGCACGCGCGACTCCGAAGCATGCACGGGGAATGGACGTCCGACCGATGGCAAGCAGCGCGCGCGGTGCAGTGGAGGCCCATGCCAAGAAACACCCTGCTTGCCTCCAGGTTGCCCTGGGTTTATTGGGTTTCAATGGTTTTGTTATGGGAAGCTTGACGCTCCCACACCAAAAATCAATGTGGGGTCCCAGCGTTGGGTTTCTTGTGGACTGTTTCTTGTGGACTGACCTCCACCGTATAAGGAGTTCGGCACTCGGCAGCGGAGTTTTTCTGGGGCGGCGGCGCCGTGGCTCGCGCCCGGTGGAGGGCGCGAGGGGAGAAGGCGCTCTCGGAGCGATAGCTCCCGTGGTACTGGCTTGGGGTTCGAGCCAATCTGACTCGAGCCGAGCTGGCAACTGGAGAAGCAGGGTGAGCGCAGCAGGAGGACGAAAAGAGCGAGGATGAGCAGGACTAGGAGGAGGAGAAGGAGGAGGAGCAGGAGGATGAGGAGGATGAGGAGAAGGTGGAGGAGGAGGAGGGGGAGGAAGAGGAGGAGGAGGAGGAGGAGGAGGAGGAGGAGGAGGAGGAGGAGGAGGGGAGGGGGAGGAGGGCGAGGAGGGCGAGGATGACGAGGACGAGGCGGAGAGGTGGGAGGACGAGGAAGACGAGGATAACCAGGAGGAAGAAGAGCATGAGGAGGAGAAGGAGGAAGATGGTGATGATGATGATGATGATGATGATGATGATGAGGAGGAGGAGGAGGAGGAGGAGGAGGAGGAGGAGGACGACGACGATGAACGAGAACGAAGAGTAGGACGAGAATGGAGGAAGATGAGGAGGAGCAGGACGACCACGACGGCGATGAACGACGACGAGGAGGACGAGGAGGAGGAGGAGGAGGAGGAGGAGGAGGAGGAGCAGGAGCAGAAGGCTTTGGAGGGTCGATGATGAGGATGAGACGGAGGAAGAGGAGGAGGAGGAGGAGGAGGACGACCAGGAGCAGGAACAGGAGCAAGAGGAAGAGTTAATGGCGCACGACCCTGGGCCGCGCGAGTTGCCGCGGCGCCCCCCCCCTCCCCCGCCCCACCTCCTTCCCCCCCGACTTGTCCGGCAGATGCTCGGGGGGGGGGGGGCTCCTCCTCCTCCTCCTCCTCCTCCTCCTCCTCCTCCTCCTCCTCCTCCTCCTCCTCGGGGGCAGTGCCCAACGATGTGTTGTTTAACTTCCTTTGCAGAGTGGGCGACGTTGCGCCCAGAGGGGAAGTGAGAAGGAGCGGGCCCTCTCAGAAGGCTCGGAAGTTCCCCGGGCCTTCTGAAAAGTTGTCTGAGCCTTCCCCGAAGACGCAGAACATTTCACAGAGGCCGCGAGGGCTTCTGAGAAGTCCTGTCGCCTTCCAGAGGGCCTTCTCCTTGTCACTTCCCCTCGCTCGCCGCCTGTACTTCTCTCTGCTCGGTTCCAGATGGTTCCAGTGGGGCCTCTTCAAGCCCCCATGCAGAAGCGCCTCTTCCCCCTCCTGCCCCCGTTTCTGTCATGTCAGCCCAGAGATCCGGCCCGGTGGCCGAAGCGTACCCGGAGGGCAAGACGAGGCTGTGCGAGTGCTCCCTCGGCCCTGTCACGGCTTGTAGGAGTCCCGCCGTGTTGCACGGGGGGGGGGGCAGGGATCAGAAGCATTGAACCGATCCCTATCGCCGTCTCCATCTCCATCCCAATCCCCACCATCCCACCTTCAGTTGGGAATATGCACCTCGAAGCCCGAAGGGAACAGCCCATATGCCCATCTAGGGGGGTTAATCGGCCAGTGGGCTCCAGGCCACGCCCGTTGGGATTGGGATCGGTCAAACGATACTCAGGGGGCAGGGGGAGAAAGCCCTAAGGTGCCACAGCCTTTCCGTGTACAGGGGTCGAGAGGGAGCACACCTCCCATCAGCTCGAGTTTGGCTCGACAGTCGACGGTCGAGGAGTCTGCTCAGAGAGAGGATTCACAATACCGGAACGCATAGCGGGTCGTGACAGCAGCGCACAATCGGATGAGGAGGAGAAGGGAAGGAGTTTTCAGATGATGACGCTGATGATGACGATGATGATGATGCTGCTGATGATGATGACGATGATGATGATGACGATGATGATGACGATGATGATGATGGTGATGTTGCTGATGATGATGATGATGATGATGATGATGATGATGACGATGACGATGCTGATGATGATGATGATGATGGTGATGATGATGACGATGATGATGATGATGGTGATGATGGTGGTGGTGGTGATGATGATATTGATGATGCTTGATATCATTATTAGGATAATGATGCTGAGGCGGATGCAGTTTATGCTGATACTGATGATGATTACGTATGATGATGCTGATGATGATGCTGCTGATGCTGTTAGGATGATGGTGTTGTTGATGCTGCTGATGCTGATGTTGTTGATGATGTTGATGATGATGATATTGATGATGCTGATGATGATGATGCTGATGCTGATGGTGCTGATGCTGGTGCTGATGCTGATGTGATGCTGCTGCTGATGATGCTGATTATGATGATGATGCAGATGCAGATGCCGATGCCGATGTCGATGTCGATGTTGATGATTATTAGCATGATAAAGACGAGGGCGAGGAGGAGGAGGCGCCACCGCCCGAATTCCTTTGGGCCGCCCTGCAGGGGCACGCGGACCACGAGTCCAAGCTGTGGACGCACGGCTGGGAGCCCGTGCAGGCGGCGCGCGTTCCGCCGATGAGCGGCAGGCTCACCTCCATCGAGCGGGACCCGTGCTCGGGCTGCGACGTGAGGGGTGGGTTCAAACACCACCCTCCCTCCTCGCTCACGCACGTCTTAGGAGTCTGCTGCTGCTCCGCGCTTCTTGTTCTTCGTCGTCTTCTTACCACTATTCGTATTATGCTTTATGATCGTTACCATGTGTTCTCGTTGTCTTACTGATCGTGCTATTGCTGTGCGTATTCCTGGTCGTTTTCCCAATTCAATTGTGGCATGTGTTCCATGCTTGTCGTCTCGGTATTTGTATGGCTTTTGTGCATGATTGTGCTTTCTGATTGATCGTCTTTTCTGAGGTCTTGTTTTCATGTTGTTCTGAATTGTTTGCCTTATGACTCGCATGATGTGTGTTTCATCCCCTCCTGGTTATCCTTACGTGCTCCGTCTCCTCCGTATCCTTTTCCTCCTCTTCCTCCTCCGTCTCCTCCTCTTCTTTCTGACAGACCGTACGGCCCGTTCCGCCGACCCTGAAAGGGGGATCAGATCAGGAGGCCCCAGGCGGGCCGCAGGGGAGCCGAAGATCGCACGGACACAGGCCAGCGAGCAGCCCAGAGCGGCGTGGAGAGCGCCTCGAGAGTCGGGCAAGACGCCGAACACCGTGCCATCCCTCCTGTCTGGTGACCTTCGGCCCAGGGTCATGGACAGGAGGCGCCTTGAACGCGTGTAAGGGTCTCCTCGGGGGTGCCTCTCGGAGGCCTCTGGGAGGCTCTCGGAGGCCTCTTGTGGTCCTCGTGGGGGCCTCTTGGGGGCGTCATGCTTCTACTTGGCATCGCTCGGACGTGCGGATTTTTTCTCGGCGAGGACCATCGAGGAGCATGCGAGGTCATCTTGCGAAACGCACACGCGCGACACTGACACATGCACGGGAAATAGATGTCCGAGCAATGGCGAGGACTCTCGTGGGGGTCTCTTGGAGGAGTCATGCGTCTTGGGGCCGCCAAGGGGGTCTTCTTAGGGGCCCTCCTGGGCCGTGCCCTGGAGGCCTGGCGGGCCATCCTGGAAAGGGGGCGGCGAGCGACGCCGGGAGGCGAACGAGGCGGAGGCGGGAGGGGCCCCCGTGTGGCTCGGGGACGAGAGGAGGAGGAGGAGGAGAACGAGGCGGAGGAGGGAGGAGAAGCTGCCCTTCCAGAGGAGGTGTGATCGCGAGGGCCGCCGATTGGTGGCCCCGTGCATCGATTTTCAGGTGCTCAGTGTTTCAGATGCGGCGGCAGGCGTGCCCGCTGAAGTCCTGTGCGGAACCACCTTCCTGTCACGTCTGCAGGGACACAGCCGTTGCAGGGCGAGGGCCTTCGTGAGGAGCGGCGGGAGGGCCGGTGGGAGCGGGTGGGTGACGTGCTGCCTTAAGTGCGGAGGCTATGCCTGGTCTGGAGGTTTGTCCCTTGCAGGAGTCTGTCAGGGTCACCCTGAAACCAAGGACCTGAAGCAGCAGAGGTCCAGGTTCCTAAGGGGCCCGTTTCCGTCCTGGTCGAAGCGGTATGCTGGCTGGACCGTTTCAGGGCAGGGGTCCCCGACCCCCTCTGATTTGCTGGCTTTGACCAGGTCAGCTCACAAGGGGGTCCAGGTCAGGGGTGCTGATGACCAGGACAGTGTTGAAGATTTTGTTGAAGGCCTGTGGGAAGAGATGTGGAACTCTGCCCAGCTCCTCTCACGTTTGGACTCGTGTTGCCCACTCAACAGTCACAAGCTGCTGTGTGAGTTTGCATTGGTTGGGGCGGCTGGCTCAGACGGCCGCTTCCATCGAGCGCAGTACAGTACAGCACAAGGAGGCGGAGGAGAGAGGGGGGCGGCCCACACAATGGAGGCGAGCGAGGGGGGAAGTGAGAAGGAGACAAAAGGCCTTCTCGGAAGGCGGCGGGATTCCTCAGAAGCCCTCGCGCCCTCTGAGAAGTTGCCTTCGTCTTCGGGGAAGGCTTCGAAAACTTCTCGGAAGGCCGGAGGACTTCCGAATTTTCCGAGAAGGCTTTCTCCTTCTCATTTCCCCCCAGGCTCGCCGCCGACCACACCCGTTGGACCCTCCGGGTGGGGAAGAGATTCCAGGGAAGGGGCGTATACGGAAGCGTGCGAAATGAAGTGTTGGTGTGGGGGGTAGCTGCTCATTTCACATCGGTCTTCCACGTCTTCCTGCTGTGCACGCCTCTGGCACACACGCTCAACGACGTCAAACTCTCAGCGTGCTCCGCCTTCTTCTCCCCAGCGCCCGCGCTCCGTCCCGCATCTGCCTGTGCCCGATTTGGCCCCGCAGCGACCCTCGGCCGCCTCCGATGGCCGCTTGGACCCATGCAGCTGCGACGACACATGCGAAAAAAAGCATGTGGAAGTTGCCTGAACACGGTGTCATGTGGGAAGGTCTTATTAATTTGGGTTTCGTTCGAAAAACCTCGACATGCTTGACTTGGCAGGCCTCTCGCACACGCCGACAGGATAGGCGGATTTCCTCCTCCTCCTCCTCCTCCTCCTCCTCCTCCTCCTCCTCCTCCTCCTCCTCCCCCCCCCCCTCATCCCTCCGCCTTGCCATCTGTGTCATCCCCTCCTGCCCTCTCTCCCTTCTCCTTCCCCCCGCCTTGTCGTTCCCCTCCTCCTCCCCCAGCCTTCCAATCGAGGACCGTCCGTGGGCGCGGGAGTCTTCCCAGCCCGCCCCTCGGGGCGATCGTCATGGGTGTGGAAAGAATGGGCAGAAAGACCGACAGCAGTTCTTGTTCATTTTGAACAGGACTCGTTGTCGGCGTCACCGCGGGCGTTGCCCTTTTGAGACAGGAGGCCGCCTGCCCAACAGCGGCCGCTGATGATTTTGGACAACATTTGTTGTTGCGCGTTGTACCCATATTTTCCGTACCCATTTCGGGCGTCCAAAGCCCCTCTCCGGTCTTGCATGATCAAAACCAGGTGTTGCCAGAGGGGCCCCTGTCCCGGTTTCGGCTACAGCCTCATGATGAGGGGGAGGGAGAGGGAGCTGCGCGCCCGTCTGCGGCGTCTTTGCTGGGATTACCTGGCCTCTGGATCCACTCTCGATGGTCCCAGGCCCCCCCAGGCTGCCAGGGTGACAGTTGAGAGAGGCGTGTGGCCAACATGATCACGGCTGTGCGCGTGGACTCGAGGACGCTCGGGATTTCAGAGTTCACCGGTGATACATATATAATATGTAGAGAGAGAGAGAGAGAGAGAGACAAAGAGACAGAACAAAACAACGACCGAAAACAACTAAAGAGAGACAGCCAGGCAAAGCGAGGCAAACAGAGAGAGAGAGAGAGGGAGAGAAACAACACAACGAGAGATATAACATAAGAAAGAGCGAGGCAAAGCGAGGCAGAGAGGCGGAGACAGAGAGAGAGAGGCCCTGTACAGCGGCCTCCGGAACGCCGCCCTTCCACGGCCATGGGGGCCCCGTGGGGGGGGGGGGGGGGGGAGCTCCAGAAGAGGGCGGGACGCTGGGGCGCTCTGGGGGGGGCGGGCCCGGGCCACCTCGGCCAGGGCCCCCTAAAAAACCAGGAGGGCGGGGGAGCGGGGACTTCGTTTTCGGGAGCGAAACAAGGACGTACACGTACCCGTCGGTCGTTGAAAATAGGTGTTTCTGGATTTCCAGATCCCAGTCTACTTCAAGTGCCTTCCTACTTCAGGAATCGATCTGACTATGCTGCGTTGGGTTACTCTGGGCGGGCCCGAACTCGATCTACTTTAGCCGTCTTCTTACTTGCTTTTACCGACTTCTTCCGACCGACGTGTACATGAATCAGCGCTAGTTTCGGAAGTACGCATTTCGCGAACGTTCGGATCACGAGGCTGGCTTCGCGAATCGGGGGCACGTATTCGTGTATGTGGTTGGGCGCGCTCGTCCTCTGTGGACTCCCCACCTTTCGGCGACCGCAGAGGGTGAGGTTCTGCCGGGGTGTGGCTTGCGATCTGCGTCGGTTCGGGCTTGGCGGCACCATGCTGCCCTTGTTGCGCCGCCTCGGGGCGCGGCGGAGAGCTCTGTCGAGGTCCTCGCCCGTCCCTCCAGGGTGCGGATTGCAAACCACACTTTTTGCAAACCACACCCTTCGAAGTCGCCGACCCTTGTCCCAGCGGATCAACTCATCATCGTCTGAATCGTCCAAGACCTTGGGCGCATGTCTGGTTTCACTCTGGGCTTCTCTTTCTAGTTTGCGGCCCTCCTCCTCTTCCTGCTCCTCCTCCTCCTCCTCCTCGTCCTCTCCCCCTCCTCCGAGCCTCTGGGGCCCATTTTGTGTGCGGGCCCCAGAAGCGTGGATGCGGGGCGAGAGACTGGCTCCCAGGGCAGGCGTCGGGAACTCGTGGGTGCCGCGCACTGAAGGAACAGATCGTCGGACGTCTGGGAGCCCAGCCCCTGCTGGTCATGGCAAGTTGGCTTTCCCAGCATACGCTCCCAGGTGGGGATCGTCGGGCCGAACGAAAGGGGGGGATAGGGTAAGGGGGGGTTACGAAATCTACTGCATGCAGCTGGTTTCGGCCCCTCTGCCGGGCCCATTCCTTGATACATAGCCGCCTCCGGCGCCAGGAGGCGCCGGGAAAATCAGCTACGTGGGCTGAGTCTCAAACCCCCCTTTTCCATTCCCCCCCTTTCGCTCGGCCCGAGTCTGGGAGCCCAGCCCCTGCTGGTCATGGCAAGTTGGCTTTCCCAGCATACGCTCCCAGGTGGGGATCGGTGCAGCGCTCTCCGAGGGGGACGGCGCCCGTCCCCACCAAGGGGGGGGAGGGTTGGCCGGCAGGCAGGGCCGAGGGTTTACGGGTGAGGGTGCGAATGGTTCTGCCTGCCCAGGCTGTTTCCCCACACTGTGGGCCATAGTTGTTATCCACATCCACTGCGTCTTGGAGTTTCGGGCTCCCTTCCTCATGATACCAGAGGCGCCGCGGATATTGACAAAACAGTTTCGCCCCTAGAGATAGTTTTATCCACATCCACTGCGCCGCGGCCCGTTGGCGCCCCTTCCCAGAAAGTCCAAGACGCAGTGGATATGGATAGACCGCACACGTCCCGAGTGTGGCTTTCCTGTTCGCACGTGGCCTGCCCGCGCGCCCGCCCGGCCGCCCGGCGGCTCGTATTCTTAGCTCCTGCCGTCGCACCCCGTCCCAATTCAATTGTATATAAGGAGAGGTGACGAACGGATATCCCAGTGTGATTCCCAGGCAGCTTCGCGTCGTGTCGACGCGGCGCCGACGCCAGCGGGGGCGTTCGAGGTTGAACGCCGCCAGTATCCTCGGTCGACATCGAAGTATCTTGCGCGATGGGCGAGCCGCGATCGTTCAAGTTTGAGCGAAACCACCGCGCAAGTCGCTACGACCCGAACCCGCTGTACTTTCCATAGCGCACGCGCGCGCGTTCACGAGCTCTTCGGCTGTAAACCAGTCCCGGATGATTTCGCATGCTTTGAGTTTCGCATCGGTTCCAGACGTACGCATCGTCGTCTTTTCCTCCCCTCCCTGCTTCTTTCGCCGTCCCCCCTTCGATGACGTTGGGAAAGGGAGGGAGGGGTGATGAGCTGGAGGAGTGAAGGGAGGGATTGGCGTCGTCGTCGTCGTCGATGGCGGCGTCGTCGATGGCGGCGTCGTCGTCGTCGTCGTCCCCTTCCCTCCCTGCCTCCTTCACCATTCACTCCTTTGTAGACGTCGGAGGAGGAGGAGGAATGGAGAGGGAGGATGATCCAGACCTCCGGAATCGAGCCTGAGTAGTAGATCTGGTCGGAAAATCGCGCTGCATCGCCGATGCAGCGGCCGTACGGCGCGATCCGAAACCAGTTATTCTCCATCCCACAGTCATCTATGCATCGCCTACAAATCGGCGATGTGGCGCGATTCTCTGACCCCATCTGCTTCGGCCCCATGCGGGAAACCGCCAGCTCAGGCGGAGGGTGGTTACAGGAGGGATTGGCGTCGTCGTCGTCCCCTCTCTTCCCTACCCCTTGCACCATTGAGGACGTTGGAAGAGGGAGGGTGGGGGGGATGAGGTGGAAGATGGAGGGATTGGGATTGGCGTCGTCCCCTCTCTCCCTGCCTCTGACACCGCCCTCGTCCGCTGGCGGCAGCGCCGGCCGCCCCCCCTGTGTCGAGAGTGGCGACCCAGGTGACCGTGGACTTGCGCTGCGAGGCCTCCGCCGCCGCCGAGGAGGAGGAGGAGGAGGAGGAAGAAGAAGGAGAGGAGGAAGGCGAGGGGAAGGGATGGGGTTAAGAGGAGGATGAGGAGGCAGGAAGAAGGACGAGGACGGCAAGGAGGAAGGCCACGAGCAGGAGGTATGAGGAATCAGAGGAGCAGGAGGGTAAGTAGGAGGAGGAGAAGAAGAAGGAGGAGGAAGAAGGCAGTGGTGATGATGATGATGATGATGATGATGATGATGCTGATGCTGCTGCTGATGATGATGATGATGCTGATGCTGATGCTGATTGATGATGATGATGATGATGCTGATGATGATGATGATGATGATGATGATGATGATGGTGGTGGTGGTGATGATGATGATGCTGATGCTGATGCTGACGCTGATGCTGATGACGATGACGATGACGATGACGATGACGATGACGATGACGATGATGATGATGATGATGATGATGATGATGATGATGATGATGATGATGATGATGATGATGATGATGATGATGATGATGATGATGATGTTGATGATGATGATGATGATGATGATGATGATGATGATGATGATGATGATGATGTGATGATGATGAGGAGGAGAGGAGGAGGAGGGAGGAGGAGGAGGAAGGGAGGAGTTGGAGCGTAGGAGGAGGTGGAAGGGGAGGGGGAGAAGGAGGTGGGAGGGGATGGGAGGGGGAGGGGGAGGGGAGGAGGAGAAGGAGGAGGAGGAGGAGGAGGAGGAGGAGGAGAAAAAGGAGGAAACGGAGGAAAAGGAGGAAAAGGAGGACAAGGAGGAAAAGGAGGAAAAGGAGGAGAAGAAGGGAAAGAAGGAAAAGGAGGAAAAGGAGGAGGAGGAGGAGGAAGGGAGGGGCAGGGCGAGGGCGAGGGGGAGGGGGAGGAGGAGGGGGAGGGGAGGGAGGGGAGGAGGCAAGCTAGGTGCGCTCGCGTCATATCTGACGTCCTACCCCTCCCTCCCATCCCTTACCATGGCGCTGATTTTCTCTATCCGCGGACGCGTGTCGTAGCGGACCTGTGGCTCCGCGCGCGCGTGCGTAGTGGGTGGTGGTGCACGTGCATGCGTGCTTGCGTGTGTGCGTGGTTGTCGTGGTGGTGGTGGTGGTGGTGGTAGTGGTGGTGATGGTGGTGGTGGTGGTGCTGGTGGTGCTGGTGGTGCTGGTGCTGGTGCTGGTGCTGGTGGTGTTGGTACTGGTGCTGGTGCTGGTGCTGGTTGTGGTGGTGGTGGTGGTGGTGGTGGTGGTGGTGGTGGTGGTGGTGATGGTGGTGGTGGCGATGCGGCGCGGTGGTGGCGGGCGGATGGGCGCGCGAGAACAAGGCCCGCGCTGGGGCGAGAACGCCATCCTGAACGACGGAGGCCAAACACCGATCCGAAAATGAGGCCCACGCTGCAGCGGGAGCACGATTCGGAACGATTCGGGAGCAGAAATGAGGCCAGCACCTCAACGAGAGCAGCATTTGGGGAAAAAATGACGCCGGCGCCTCAGCGAGAGTCGTTTCGCGGGATTTCCTGGGGATCCTGTGTGTTAAAAAACAGTACGCGGAGGGTGCGCGGCCATCACCCGGACGCCATCAGGGGAAGAGGGAGAGTATTTTCATATTGAGTAATTGTGGAGGAGGAGGAGGAGGAGAAGGAGGAAGAGCAGCAGCAGCAGCAGCAGGAGGAGGAGCAGCAGGAGGAAGAGGAGGAGAAGGTCTGATCAGAGCGCTGAGGAGATGGGTTGAGGTGGAATGGGGAGGGAGTGGGGAGGGAGTGGGGAGGGGGGAAGGCGACGGAAAAGGGTGAGGAGGGTGAGGCGTGCTTCAGCCGCTTACGCGTCGGAGCTCTCCGTGGCGCCGCGCCGTTGGCATGGCACTCCTCTGCCTGCGGCGTCGAAGGGACGACACGCGCAGGTTCCAGATGGTAGAAGTGTCAGAAGCATCTACACGTATACAGACCAGAACACTGATGTGTTTGCCCAAGATCGGGTTACCCCGAAAGCAGTCCCTTGTTGGCATCACACAGCCCTCCCCCGAGGCCCCGAGCCGATCTGGAGCATGTGGGTGGGGTTGGCAGTCGCTGCACGTTTCCCCTCCCTCCCCCTCTCCCTCCTTCTGGTCTTGCGACGGAACCGCAGGTCATGCAAGCTCGTCGTCTCCCGTCCAGCACCGCATTTGCTGATATGTTAGGCGGGAGAGCGGGGCCAGAAGCATTGGCCAGCGTAAAGTGCATAAATCAGCAGCGAGCATCGGGGCCACGGTGGGGTCGTCCATCGCGTCCTGGGGGGCAGCACGTCCGCGGGATTGTCGGCGCTGGGGCCGCGTCAAGTCTTGAGCCATCGGCTTCGGGCAACGACGACGATCACGACGACGATGATAATGCACACGAAAGGGCTTCGTTTGGGGGGAGTTCCATTCATAGACGCCGTCACTCCCGCTGGAGTGGCGTCGCGGAGGAAGCTGAGACCCGTGTCCTTGACTAGCAGTGGGCAGGCTTCGTGGTTCTCTGGAGGAAGCACGCGCGCGAAGCCAAGCATCCATGGGGACGCGGAGGCAGAGAAGAGGTGCACAGTGACAACTATCCGAGAAGGGATGCTGGGAAACCGAACTTGGAGTGTACAAGGGCGCGGACAAAAGACAACGAAGGAGAGTGAAGATGATGGCGTCATTGTGTGTAGCGACCTTCTAAAGAATTCAGTTTGCCTCGCAATTAAGTCATGTCTTGGACAAAGGGTAAGGTATACGCTCGGCGTTGTATTTTTGTACTGCTGCATTGCATTACTGTCTGAAGGAAGACATCCGTGTAATCGCATGAGAGATAGTCTGCTCCTGCACGCCCTTCTCCAAAGGACTACAAGAGCACCCGGGGCACCTACTACGGCAGCGTGGCGCACTGCCTCCTGCCATCGTACGAGATGTTGCAGGTCGCGCGCGAGGCGGCTACCAACAGCAGCGCACAGGTACCCTGGGGGGAGGGAGAAAGGAAACGATGACAGGATGGGGACCCAGACGTCCCTGCGTGGTGCAGTATAACCAGTCGGTCCTGGGGGAGGGGTCCAGACCTCTGGGAGACCACGTGAACAAAGAGCATGGTCGGAGGGGGAGGGGGAACGGGAGGGACGAGGTGGAGGAGCGAGGAGGCGCGGCAGCTGCGGACCTCCCTCGGGGTGGACCGCGCTGCCTGCGTCGCCAGTCTGCAGTCGACGCCGACCAGCTGAGCCGGCTCCGTAGCTCGGGGGAGCTGGTCTGCTTTGGTCGTCGCGGCGTTCTTGCTGAACAGCGGGTAGAGCGGACGATCCGCGTGCATGATGATGATGAGGAGTTGGAGGAGGAGGAGGAGGAGGGGGAGGAAGAAGAGGAGGACAAACAGGAAGGGTGTGGCGGCACTGAGCAAGCATGGAGGTTGCAGGCCGTGGCAGGGCTGAGCAATGGTTGGTGGGGTGGCGGGGCACTAAACCTTGAAGTGGGCGCGCTCACGCGTCACATTTCTGGTTCTGCATGCTGCTTTCGTCTTTTCAAGAAATTAGTGTCGTCCTGTTTTTCTTTCAGCCAGGGACGAAGTGCCATGTGCTTTGCAACACTGGCGGCGCCAGCGTGGTGCCCAGGCCCAGGAAGCTGGCGAAGGGAGGCGACCGACTCCAGAAACTACAGGTCCTTCAGGTGCGTTTGGGCAAGACGCGGTGGTCCACAGGGCAAAATGTTCCATTGTCCTGTTGTTTCAAAGTCGATGGTTGGGGCCATATAAACGTGTATATACATGTGTGCATGAAGATATGTATCCCGCACGCTCAAAGTCCGTCTGGCGCTCTTAACAAGGTCGACGCGTTGACGTTGAAATCCAGATGTGGCCAGCCTGAACACAGCAGTCAACGTTCACACGCAAGGGCAGTACGACTTCGAAATGGAGCGATCCCGCTGCGATGTATCTTCTCTGGCAGGTGGCGCACGCGCCCCCCAGGTCTTGAGCCTTGCCTGTCTCACGCTACTTCTGGTGCGCTCGCGGCTGGGGTCAAAAGAACACAACGCACGACAGGATAGATGTGAGCGACGTGGCCTTTCTGAATTCGACGAGCACAGGCTCCACGCCTGCCGGCGAGATCGGGACCGGGCGCGCGGGAAGGATGGGTCTGCCCGATCGATCGCAGGCGATGTCCGGGCGCCTGCGCCGCGCACATCAAGCTTCGGCGGCGGGCGAGGGGGAGGAGTGAGATGGAGAAGGCTTCCTCAGAGGACGGCGGGACTTCTCAGAAGCTCTCGCGCCTTCTGGGAGGTGTTCTGCGTCTTCGGGGGGAAGGCTTAGGAACCTCTCAGAAGGCCGGGGGAGTTCCAAGCCTTCTGAGCAGGCCCGCCTCTTCTCATTTCCCCCCCTCGCTCGCAGCCGAAAGGTCGGCGACGGCCGACAGACGGCCGACACGATGCTCGACGTCGTACGCGGGATGACAGGGGGCCCAGGGGCGCACTCGCGACGATGCCTTTGGCGAGCAGGGCGGAGACAGCGGCAGAAGAGGAGGCGAGCGAGGAAACGAGGGGACACTGGTGGACCGAAGGTGTGCGCCATGACCTGGCGGGAGGGCCATTCCCTGCGGCCGTTCTTGGAGTTCGTGTCCGACATCCGGTGGCACAAGGAGCGCGTGCCGCTGCCAGCTCATTCATTTCGTCCGCATTGCAGCGCCCTGACTCTCAGATGTTGAGAATACACCGATGCCGCTACATCGATGCCGCTACCCTTCCCTTATCGCCACAGCTGGCATCGCCGCGAAACTCTGGGGATAACGTGCCCCTGGAGAGGTCTGGGGAGCAGCGGGGGCCGTTGCACGTTTGGAGAGGCCTGGGATTGTCAGATGTGTTGTCCAGACTGCTTCACCGCAGCACGTCTGGACAGCTGGCTGGTGTGACGCATTTCCTGTGGCTTCTGGCGCTGCACCTGTGTCCTGAGTGTCCAGCGCTTCGCTGTTGGCTGTGTTTTGAGTCTTGTTGCTGCCTGCTGCTGCTGCTGCTGCTGCTGCTGCTGCTGCTGCTGCTGCTGCTGCTGCTGCTGCCGTGTGGCTGCCGTTTGTTGCTGCGGGGGCGTCGGGGCCGCCTGTGCGACAGAGAGGCCGCCGGAACCGCCCAGCACGTTTGGAGCAGCGGGGCCATCTGGGCCATCTTGGAGCTCGGGCCCGGCTGGAGGGTTTCTCCGAAGGGCTTAGGCGATCCGTCCTCCTCCTCCTCCCTCCCCTCCCCTCTCCTCCTCCTCCCTCCCCTCCTCCTCCTCCTCTCCTCCTCCTCCTCCTCCTCCCTCCTCCTCCTCCTCCTCCTCCTCCTCCTCCTCCTCCTCCTCCCTCCTCCTTCCTCCTCCACCTCCCCCTCCTCCACCTCCTCCTCCTCCTCCACCTCCCTCTCCTCCACTTCCTTCTTCTCCTCCTCCTCCTCTTCCTCCTCCTCCTCCTCCTCCTCCTCCTCCTCCTCCTCCTCCTCCTCCTCCTCCTCGGGTCGCCTACGGCCCCGGGGGAAACCGTGCAGGGCTGGCCAAGGGTCCGAGCTGGCCCAGCTTTATGATGTTCCAACCTACTTTAGCCTTGATCGCCAGAAAGAGCTTCGATCACCAAGAAACCCGAAACGTGAGGGTTCTCACGCGTGTGTGTCGGGCCCTGGGAGGCGATACTCGTTCGACACTGTTTCGATGCTGTTCTGGGTGCTCGAAAGTAACTCTGGGATGTGATCCTCAGTACGATGTGGGCAACATAAGCCCAGCATTGGTTTCAGCGAGCAGGAACGGGGGGACAACCTCGAGGGTTTGGGTTCGACACGGTCTTTTGCTTCTGTTCGGCCTCCGGGGGCCGCTTTCGGGCCCCTGGCCCGTCAGACACGGATCCGGGGTGAAAGACCATACACCTTAGGCGATGCTTAAGAAAACTAAAGTTTTCGGCCAGAGTCTCGATTATTCTTAACGTTTCAATGTGAATCTTGAGACTCCAATAGAAATGTTGGGTTTTTTATTCAAATTCTGAGACTATGAATTTCTTCACCCATGATTTCTTAAGCATTTCGCAGGGTGTACCAGATGGACTTTGGGAGGTGTCCAGGGACCAACCTTCAAGGGATCAGGATCAACATAGACAGCGTGTACGGCGAATCACCGCCGGCCTCTGCCTTTCAGGATGGGTATATGTGGTCAAACGTTGGGGTAAAGTTTGGCCACGCTATTGGACCATGCGTTCCCCCAGCCGTTGTGGAAGCCCCTCGGGGAACACGCGGGGGAGAGGGAGGAGGATGAGAAGAGGGAGGCAAAAGGATGGTGAGGAGAAGGATGAGGAGACCTCTTGGGAGTTTCCTGGGTCATTATTGTGCCTCCTGGGAGTTTCCTGTGGGCCTCTTGGAGGCCTCTTGGGGGCCTCCTTGGGCCTCGGCCTTCGGGAGCTTCGTGGTGGGCTCTTTGTGGCTGTCCTACCGCGCTCCTGGCCCCGCTTGACGCCGTCGGAAGCCGTCCTGGAGCCCTTTTCTGGGCCTGCTGGGGGCGCTTCAGGGTCGCCTCGAAGGCCATCTTGGGCGTCTTGGAGGCCTCTTGGGCCGTCTTGGGGCCCTCCGAGGGCCGACTGGGGAGCCTCGTGGGCCGTCTTGGCGAGGCCCCGAAAACAGCCCAACAGGCCTCCGACAGGGCCCCCAATAGGCTTCGATCAGTCTCTCGAGGCCCCCCAGAAAGCCCCGCAAGGCCCCCGCAAAGCCCACAGAGGGCCGCAGGAGACTCCCGAGAGCTTCGGACAAGGCCGACCCTTTCAAAAACCCATTGGACATCTATGATTCTCGCCTTCTCGCCTCCAAAGGGCCGCGGAGGTCCCAAGATCGCGCCTTAGAGGCCTCCAGGAGGCCACAAGACGCCCCCAGAAATGATCCCAAGAGGCTTCAACAACCCCCAAGAGGCCACCAAGAGATCTCCAAGAGGCTTCCAAGAGGCCGCCAAGAGGCCGCCAAGAGGCTCCCTGAACGTCCCCCGAGATCCCCATGACAACCTTACATGCACCAAAAATGCCCCCCATCGTGTTCTAGAATCCCCAAGAGACCCCCAAAGCCTCACAATGCCCTCACAAAGCCTCACCCCGTGCAGTTCTTCCACGCCTGAGCTAACTTGGGGGTGGCACTGCTGCCCCAGCGCTGGCTCGCAGAATTCGTTCTCCCACGCTTGAGCTAATCTTTGGGGGGGCACGGCCCGCCCGGGGCTGGCTCGCAGCCTCAGCTCTTCCACTCTTCAGCTGTCCTGGCCACTGGGTGGCGACGGCTGCCCCGGCGCTGGCTCGCAGAATCCGTTCACATACGCTGGGGCTAGCCCGGGGGGCCACCGGAGCCAACCTGTGGAGAGCCACGGCCAGACCCGTCCGCCCCGGGCATGCAGTAAGGAAGCAAGATCCAGCAACCTTCGTCCTCGTCGTCGTCCTCCTCCTACTACGCTATTGGATGATACTGCACAGTGCCGTCTTGCTCGAGGCTGCCGCGGTAGGATTTCCTTTAAGATTGGCTTAGATGTTAAGATTCGGCGAATACCAGCAGCCACGCCTCATCAAGGGATTTAACCGTGTGAGTGCCCCCTACACGTCGTACCAGGGGATTTGGGCGGGGTGCTGCCATGCCACCACCTTGATGCAAGTCCTGCTATTGAGGCCGCTCCAGAGACTCAAGCGTGAGTTTGAGTTTATAGTGCCCCGAGGCCTCATGGATGATGCATCATTCCAGTGGGTTGGCAAGGCGGCCAACCATGCGGGCATCGTCTTCAATGCTGTAACTTGTTTTGCTGGGTACACTAGGCGAGCGGGGTTACTGTTGCAGGCTAGCAAATCTGGTTTCTTGGCATCCACTGCAGAGGCTCGGAAGGCCCTTCAGGCCAGAGCATGGCGTTTGAAGCTTAAGAGTTTCACCACGGCGCGCAACCTTGGTCATTACACATTTGCGGGCGGCACTGCGCGCAGAGCTCTTGAGAGGAAACGTTTGGGGTTGGCCTTGGGGCGACGTTGGAGAATGCGCGCTTCAAGGCGCTCCAGGGGCCTCAAGGTTCGAGCTCTGTGGCGCACGGGCGTGATGCCCACAAGTAGGCAAGGAGCGGGGGTCAATGGGCTCACCGACTCCACTTTGATGTCTCTTCGATCGTTCGCGGGCGAGCTTGTCGGGGCCCGCGGTGGCCTGTCTTCGCTCACTGCGTATACTTGCACGCAGAGGGACAGGTTTTACGACCCCGTGTTTAAAGCGACGTGCCCATTGGTTTGCAGGTATGCAGGCTGGATTTGGGACGGCCGCACTTTGCCTAGCCAGCTCAGGGCGGCCTGGACGGCCATCAGGGGTCCTGATGGCCGTCCAGGCCGCCCGGAGCCGGCTAAGCAATGTGCGGCCCTACCTGCGCTGTGTTTCTATCTCTGCGGAGGGTCGGCTGGGACATGGCGGCGCCCCACGTGTTGCTCTCGGACAGGGGTGAAGCGATCTCGCTGTACAAAGTGACCCCTGCGGAAGTCCGCACCCTGCTCAGAGATGGAATTGAGCGTTGGCTGTGGCGCCGCGTGCCTCACCGTCTTCCCGAAGCGTCCGGCCAGGAGCAGATCTTGAGTCGGGCTCTGAGGCTTGGCGTGCTTCCTCTGCCCCCGGGGGCCCGCCAAGGTTTCATCAGGGCCCTGCTCTGGAGGTTCGTGGCCACCTGCTCGGAAGCATGCGGCTGGCGTAGCTGAGTCCGCCACGTGTTCCTTCTGTGACTGCCCGAGCGGGACCCTAGGCCACCAGGTTTTCGATTGCCCACCGGCATTCGAGTCTGGCGATGGTCAGGCGGCGAGCGCCTTCCCCGACGATGTGTGGGGGCGCAGGCAGGCGCTGCGGGAGAAGGGCATCTCCCTCCTCGGGCCTCCTGACTGGGATCGTGTCGACTTGTTGTACGGGCTTCCCTCTATCCCCATCTCGATCCCGCCTCCCAGCAGCAGGCCAGCTGTGCGAGTTTGGGGCTTGACTGATGTCATGTCGAGTGGGGCCCCTGTGTTTACGGATGCTTCAGGGCTTGCTAGCGCAGTGCCGGAGGCCACGCGCTGTGGATGGAGCGTCGTCGACATTTCTCCCGACGGATGGCCGTTGAGGGCCACATTCGGGGCGCTCCCTGGTCAGGTCCAGTCCGTCCCCAAAGCGGAAAGATATCTTGGTGGGCTGGCCTGGAGGCGATGTGCTTCAGGGCCCAGGATCTCACGATAATTAGCGATCACTTGTCCAGTGTCCGTGAAGGACAGCGGTGGGATCCCTTCCAGGCTTGCGGCATGGCAGCACACGCTGCGCTGTGGCGCAAGATCTTTTATGCTTTGCTCCGACCGCCCGTAGCCTCGCTTCGATTGGTCTCCCACGCATCGGTCGCTTGAGGGGTTAGTGGAAGCTGGCGCTTCGGCGGAGGAGCTCTGGCGGTTTACGGGCAATGCGTGGGCCGATTTCTTTGCCAAGTTCGGCGCGCAAGACGCCGCGGTAGCCGAAGTTGCCGTGTCTGCCTTAGAGTCTTCGGTGGCTGGGTGTAAAAAATCGTTTGATTGTTTGGCGCGAGTTGTCCAGATCATTCGTGCAAAGCCTGAGTGCGCCAATGCTGCCCCTGCCCGGCGTGCGGCGGCGGTGCCCGCAGGCCCGAGGCTCGTAGTGA